CCGGGCCCCCCCGCGGGCACCGGCCCCCCGCGGGCCTTCTCCGGGCGCTGGGGGTGCGGGGTTCGCAGCAGCGTCAAGCGCGGGCAGCGGGCACTGGCACCGGGGAGCCCCAGGCACTGGTAGCAGGGGCCATGGCCACAGCGAACACCAGGGTTGCTCAAGGAAACTGGGCTGGGTCCAAGCACTGCAGGGCCGTGGTTCCAGGAACCAGCCCCAGGACACCCCGGGACTTCCTGGGACACCCAGGCTGGGCGCTAGCACTGACATAGCACCAGGAACGGGCACCGGCATGAGGCACCAGCACCCAGGGCTCCCCAGGAACTGGTATTAGGGCCTCTCACCACAAGGAACACCAGGGTTGCCCGAGAAGGCTGGGCTGGGTACAAGTACTGTGGATCTATCGGATGTCCTAGCCAGGAACCAGCCCCAGGATGCTCCAGGGCTTCCTGGGACACCCAGGCCAAGCACTAGCACTGACAGAACACCAGTAACAGGCGCTGGCTCTGGGCACAGGCACCCAGGGATCCATGGGCAGAGATTGGCTGCAGGGAACACCAGAGTTGCTCAAGGAAGCTAGGCTGGGCACAAGCACTGTGGGACAATGGGGCATCCCAGCCAAGAACTGACCCCAGTGCACTCCAGGACTTCCTGGACACCCAGGCCAGGCCTTTGCACTGTCAGAGCACCAGAAACAGGCACCAGTTGTGGGCACTGTCACCCAGGGCTTCCTAGGCAAGATCTGATCCCAGGGAACTCCAGGGCTCCCTGGGACACACCAGGAGAGCTGGATCAGGGAACCTACCTCAGGACACTCCAGAACAGGCACCAGCCCTGGGGCACCTGGGCACCCTGGGGCACTCCAGGACACCCAGGACATGCACTGGCCTTGGAGCACCCTCAGGGCACCCCAGTACACCCCAGTCAGGGACCAGCTTTGGGACACCCTACAACAAGGACTGTCCCAAAGGGTCAGAGACCAGCCCCAAGGATTCTCTAGGACACCCTGGACTTGGGACCAGCCCCTTGGGGACTCAGCCCCAAGGGCATCCCTGAGCAAGCCCAGCCCCTAGGGGATACCCACTTTAGAGGAACCTCCAGCCCCTGAAGGGACCCTATCACTGGCACAAGCCCACGCATGGACCCTTTCAGCCCTGTAAAAGCACCTGTGCACAGAAGACAGACTCTTCCACTCCCCCTCAAAGTGATGCTGTGCCTAGATTCCCTCCAGCATCATGAAAGGGCTGTGAGGATAGACTTGCCCCTGCTTTCTGCATAGAGACTCTGAGTACAGCGCTTCTCACAGAGGAACACTGTACATTTGCCTCGATGTCTCCTCAGAAGTGTCCACAGGCTCAATCCCAGTCATTCCCCCAAAAGTGGTCCTGTTTATAGATCCTCCTCAGCTCCCTCCACAAAAGAAGCCCCACTGTAGATGTACTCCAACACCCTCATAGACTCACTCCTCAAAGGGACATCATACATTAACCCAAACTTTTCCCCAGAAGGGGACCTGATGTGTTTGCCAATGAGGGTCCCGAGTGTCCCCTTGTGTGTAGACCTCCAATCTGTCCTTACAGGGGTCTGTCCTTTTAGGATGAAGACCCTGAGAAGAGATGCTGAGGTTTTCCCGCTAGCGGGACCCTTCACTTCCTTCTCTCTCCAGTTTTACCACATATGGAAAGACATTGTGTTACTCCCCAGTGCATGCAAAGCGTGAACAGGCTCAGAGCTTCCACCAGAAGGACCCAGAGCCCCTTATATGCCTAATGAAGGGACCCCAGTCCGACTCCCCTTGGAGAAGGGCCCCAATCATTGATGTAGGAGGATACAGCCCACCCATGCTAAGGGCTTGCAGCCAGCCTGGGTCTCTCCCTTGCAGCTGGCTTGGACTGGAAAGCATGACCTCTTCTCACCCAGATCAGGACCGCAGCCAGACCTGGAGCTGCCTGGGCTTATCAGGAAATTCCTTCATCTTTAATTTTCCCTGTCCCGAAGATTTACCGGTTTAAGGCAAGCTCAGAGCCCAAATCCTATCGATTGTCAGCAGCTTAATCAAGTGGCTTGGACTGCCCGGCCGGTGCTGCTGCTATGCAGGGAGCTGCGTGGCAGAGGGCACTGCACTGATGGCAGCCCCAGGCTTCCTTCCTGGTGCCTCCTGTCCTGCCCGGCTCAGGCTTGGGTGGCCACGGCAGCACCCTGCTGCTGTCACCTCTGGGTACCCCTTACCCTGCCCGGGGGCTCGTCCCTGCTCACGTTTTGCACCTTGCGGCTACACTTGTGTTGCTCATGCCTGCACTTGTGAGAACTCTGAGTGTGCAGCTTGCTGGGGACACGGGCTGGTTCTCCTGGCCCCGGCTGGCCCAGGGCTCTCCCGAAGCAGTGTGGCTTCGCGGCCTTTCTGCATCGGGGAATGTCCCAGGCGGCATTCACAGAGACTGGCCATCCACCCTGCCCTGAGATGGGGCAGCGCGAGAGAGCTTCTGTCCTGCAGGAGAGACTGGTGTCACCATCAGGGAGGTGGTGGTGTGTCCTGGCGAGAGGGAGCCTTCTCTGGGGTGGACTGGGCAGGGCTGAACTTCTCAGCCACAGGTGGATGTGTTATCTTGTGCATGGAGAAGGAGCTGCCATGGAGAGGCCACCATGGGCCAAATCCCATGGGTAGGGCAGGGATGTGGCCTGATGCAGGCTCCAGCGCAGCGGGATGGCAAGCTTTGGCGATTCACCCACCTGGGAGGCTGGAGGGTCAGAGAAAGGAAAGGCATTCCTCCTGCCTTGGTGAAAGAGGGCTTGCACCACTATGGCAGAAGTGACTGCAAGTCCCTAAGTTTTGTGGTCTCACTGGTGAAAACCAGGTAAACAAGGTGAAAGGCAGAGAGATGGGTCAGAGGTGGGTCCACCCTGTCCCTGCGGGATGGCCGGTGCAGAACACAGGGCTGCTGAGCGAGGGCATGAACGGGCTCTTCAGAGGAGAAGAATCAAGAGCAGGAAGGTGGAGGAGGAGGAGGATGATCAGAAATTCAGTATCTCTTTTAGAAAAAAAAAAAAGTTTAAATCATCAATGTCTAATTAGTGGACAACAATCAAGGAAGGGTTGAATTAAGCTTCACAGAAAGCTCCAGCTCAAAAGCTACTGCCCCACTAGGAGGAAACTGGATCTAATTAAGAGGAAAGACTCTACTTTATCGCAGATAGAAACGTAGCCATCTGCCCTGTTCAAAATCCCAATAATGCAAAACTGGAGATTTTGCTAAATCCTTCTGTTATAAAACCAGAAACGGGCCTTTAACGTGAGCATGTCAACAACTGTATGACTGACAGCACCCTGATGCCGCTTCAGTCCTCAAAATTAGCAGAGGAGCTACTTGAGAAAGTCCCATGAGATGATGCTTACTTGAAGAGAAACGGGCTGTGTGGGTGATCCCTGTCGTCCACCCTCCATGGAGGGCAGGTAGAGGAGCGAGATGAAGGAGCTGATTTTGTGGATGCCCGCATTCCAGAGACCATGTAGCAGTCATCTGCTGGAGACCAGAGCATGGGAATACACCATCACCACCACCACCACGCACCGAGGCAGCTGCCCAGGAGCCTGAGCATTTCCTCTGATTCCCTAATTCTCTGCTGTAGTGTCAGATGTGGTCACCCTGTGAGTTAACTCCAAGCTTCGAACAGAGTTGTCCTGGTGTCCAGCACTAGTGCCAGAGCGAGACACCCCAGCCACCTCTTCGTGACATGGTACCCACGTGCCTCCAGTGAGGATGGCTACTCCAAGTGGGTCCGGTCTGTTATCAGAGGGGCTTCAGTGTTGAACTCACAGTCTACAGAGGGTCAAAAGAGGCAGCCAGGTGAGCACACAGTCCCTCTTGCACGGAGGAAGTGACTGACCATGTTTGAAGGTGTTTCCCTGCGCTTCAAGTCCATCGTCAGTGTGGTGGGACCATCCAGCTCCCTTAGGCCAGGCACAAGCACGATACGTGGAGCGCCTTTCCACCCGAGGCCGTGTCTTTGGCCGTGGGGCTGGGGTTTGTCTTTACCAGCGGCACTTCGGAGTTAATTACGCCGTGTCTTGCCTGATGGAGAATGTGATAATACATATCCATCTCAGCCCTTTTCTCTTTTGGGAGACTCCCTTCAGAGCTACACTCACCTCTCAGATGGGCTCTTCCCACCCACCAGCACGTGAACTGGGAGCAGAGGCAGAGCCTTCATCAGCAGCTTCATCTTCTGCACCTGAGCTGCTTTTGCCACTGTCTGAGTTGGGACCCTTCGCCCGGCACAGCTGCACGGCATTGTTTCAGCACGTGAGTGGAGAGGAGCGGTTGGGAAGCCTGTGGCTGATGGCCGGGCCGGTCACGGCTGAGCCGCATGGTGTTGGCAGGGCTGCAGCGTTAAGGGAGGGCAGGGTCTGGCCCCAGTGAACGCCGCAGCCCCGAAACACTCCCTGGTGCCGGTGGCGATGCGGTGGCTCTGCTGGGCCATGTCAGGACGGGCTCGTCTTCCTTGGCTGGAGAGCCAGCTCCTCTCAGAGAGAGTTTGAGGTTTCAGAAAAATTCTTTTCATGGATATAAAAGTCATTCATTGAAATTCTTAATGAAAAAAATGAGACACACATACCACTGCTCCAAACCAGCCAGGAGTGTAACTGGGACAGCTGCTGGCAGTGAGGATGAAGTAGCCTCAAGCCTTTTCTCTGCCCCAGGGAGAAATCCTGCTAATACATGATCTTCCAGGTGAACCGCTTCCACCTGCCGACCTTGCAGCAAAACAAAGACATCGCTGCAAGAAAATTTTGCATTTGCTGAATTACTGGCTTCTGGCCCCGAAAAAAGCTTTCCTGAAGATTTTCCCTCTACTCCCCTGCCACTCCTGTCGAGCAGTGGGGACAGGAGCAGCAACACAGCGCAGCCCTCGCATCCTTCCAGCACCTCGTGCTCCGTAGCAGCCAGCCCCAGGCTTTGGAAGGCAGCGCAACCCTCCCGTAGTGGCTGTTGATGTGCCCGCGGACCCGCAGGGAGGGGCTGAGCTGGACGTTTCGGAGCTGCTCGTGTCCTGGAGCTTACATCCCTTAACTGTTGTTCCAGATAAAGTAACTGTCAGTTCTGATTCATACAAACTTGTAACTCTATTCTGAATCCCGCTGATTTTTTGGCTGAGAAACAGCCTGTGGAGCAAAATGCCGTAAGGGAGCTCCTGTCTTGTCATTTACAGGAACCTGTAAATGGCTGGTTCTTGCCGTCCCGAGCATGCTGCCTTTAATTTTCATTTATTTTTGAGCGATTGCTATTTTTAGGAGGTGGGGAAGGCTGTGTTTTTTCCCTTTCCTTTCGGTGCTCAGTTCTCAGGAGGTTCCTAGTGAGAAGCAGCTGCTGCAGACCGCAAAGGCACCGCACAACCCCTGTCCCCCCAGGGGTTTGGGGCTGGTGTGCAGAGCCTGGGGACGTGTGTTGGGGGGTCCCCACTGGGAACACCAATGTGCCATCATCATGGCAAGCGGCTGTGGGCAGAGTGGACATTACGGCACCTAGAGCTTACTCCTGTTCGGCACAAGGTAGATAGGAGGGGCTGGGGGGGAGGTCACCGAAATACCCCCCGGCAGAGAGGAATGTCTGCGGTGAAGGTGGGAGCGATGTGTACGAGGGCAGGGGACAGCCAGCACGCTGAACCCGAGGGATGATAAGCCACTACCCACAGGGCCAAACACCTCCCTGTCCCAAAGCCAGGTTTAACAAGCCCCTTTGGGACCCAGCAGTTACTAGTTTGCCCCATTTACCCCTGCATTTTCCGCTTTTCAGTCCCTTATGTGTCCCGTGGCAGCTTGATGCTCTTCAAGCCTGTCCTGGGGGGAAGCCATGTCTCTCAGCTGCAGGGTACGTCCTTAACTCCTTCTGCTTCTGGCAGGCAAGAGCAGTAAAAGCCAGTCTTCATCCAAACCTGCAGACTAAACTAGACAGCAAAAGTGATTAAAAAATCAGATTTGAATCCTGCAGGCACTACTGCTTGGTACTGGGGCGGACTGGGATAACGCTAGTACTTGACAAACACATGGGTTACTCAGATGGTCCAAATTAGCTAAATGCACCTTCTGCTGGGGCACGTTATCCTGCCAGGAGGAGCCTCCTCATCTCTCTCTGCTAAAATCTTGCTCCAGTGTTGTAGCCTGAGTCATAGCATTGAATTCCCTTCAATTAATTTCTTTTGTGAGGATGTCAAAAGCCCTTGAGATGCCCATTTCATTTCTAGGGGGCTCTGACAAGGGAGCACCAAGGAGTGGGAAGCCATCAACCAGCCACAAAACCAAGCTGAGAAATACTGCTTTCCCTGAGGCAGGATCCCTGGCCCCAGCAGGATCCCATGGGCAGTCCTGCAAATCACAGCCAGTTTGTCCTTCTTCTGCATACGGCCTGCCCTGGTGACCACTGAAATGCCTGGTCTCAAATCCATCTGTCTGACTGGGAAAACTCTGGAAGAGGAGTTGGAGCTCAAAGTCTGGCGAAGGGGTGGCAGCTGTGAGGTGTGACATAGCAGCTGGCTGTCCTTGGTGCCACTGGCAGTGGGGACAGGCACCACACCCTCAGAAGAACGGGAATCAAAGCCAAAATGGATGGGAGTGGGGTTGTTTTTTCCTTTTTAATAGCAGCTCATGTAGGAGTCATCGTTCGGTGTTTTTCATGTGGTTGCAAGGTGTAGAAATAGGCTGTTTTAAACAAAACCCAACATCTTCCTGCAGGTCTGCCGTGGACCTTGGGGCATGTGGAGGCAGGTGCTGGCAGAACAATGCTGTGGGCAGAGGGACGGGCAGGCAGAGCCCCGTCCTCGCGCCCCTCAGACCCGCCGCGGGGGGTGTTGACCGTGTGGGGGTCCCTTCTCGTTCTTGCTCTGCACTTCAGCGTCGCCCCGTGCTGCAGGCACGGGAAGGCGTTTCCAGGACATTGGGCGGCCTGGGGACACGGGGGAAATGCAATTGCTTGTGACAGAGCAGAGGATTCGGCTTGCTTCTGGGAACACGTAGGAAGAGGAGAACGCTGTGCTGCTCTTCGCTGGGAGAGGACCTGCCTTCGGTGGCACGGTCCCACCACAGCCACTTCCTGGGGAGCCGCAGAGCAGTGAGGGGCTTGTGGGAAGAGCCTGGTCGCCCTCGGGCAGAGGTGTTCAGGTACACATGGTGTCTCGGAAGCGCTCCTTGGCCCTGGTGGTAAATTTGTAGTTTAATTCTCGCTGGTAAACGGGGGCTGTGAGATCTCAGGCAGAGCTCCTGGAGCCACTCCGCATGCCTGGGCACGGGCTTGCCTTGCCCCAGTGCCGGTGCAGAGCAGACATATGGGAAGAGGAGAAACTAGGGCAGGCAGACACAGGCTAGAGGCCGCGCTGGTGGGCCCTGGCTGCCGCTGCCTGTCCCCTGTGGCCGTGTTGTGACAACCCGCTGCACTGGTGGCACACGCGCTGTGTGTTTTTCCCGTACCTTTTGAGACGCTCTCTACTTTCACCTTAAAACCTCTCTTTCGTGTCCTCCACAAGTGCCATAGCCCTCCAGGATGTTACTGGAGGGTCACTGCCCCGTCCTGCCATGTTTGGGACCTGCGGGTGTCCTGGAGGACCTTCACCGTGTGTCTATGGTGTCTGCAGAGCATTGAGCTCCTGGTGAGCTCCTGCTTTGCTCAGGCAGTCGGATCCACCCCAAATAAACCCTGAGAAACGCAGAGGAAGTACCAATGCTTGCAGAGTCCAGGGAAAGACCCAGGAGCTGCAGTTCTGCTCCTGCGAAGGACTGGCTGAGGGCCCTGCACAAAAGCCAGGAGCCCGCCCGAGCACGGGCTGGTGCAAGTAAAATTGGTACCTGAATTTTTTTTTTTTTTTACATAAATTTGCCTTCTCCTGCAGCCCTGTTTTCTCCTGGGCTGTGAGGGTCTGTCGCTGAGGGCTGCTGCCCACCCAGGCAGCTGGAGGGCTCACCTTGCCGCTCGCTGTGCTTTCCTCTGGCATCGCCACACTCTTTTCTTCTCCTCACCAATTCTGGCAGAGCCGTTAACAGCCATGCCCATTTCCAGGCTGGGTCGTGTCAGCCTGACCAGCACTGCAGGGACAAAAACACCCTCTCGCCAAGCATGGCCACAGAGCACCTTGGCATTTTTTTGCAGCTGTGCTGCACTGGGAACTCGGTGAGGTCCTAAAATCCTCTCGGCATCTCTGTTTTCCAGACAAGAGTCCTGGCATAGGTCTGCTGCTCCTCCTTGCCTTTAATTCCGGCACTCGGCTGAATTAAATGGCATCTAGCTCGGAGGTTAGCAGGCAGGCTGGGTTGCTGCTCACCAGTTACTGTGCAGTGCACGGCATCAGTGCTGATTATATGTCCTCTTCCAGAGGGGATGGTTTTGGGTTGATCTGGCCCCAGTGGACAGGGAGTTCTCCAGACGGGGCTGTGCTTGGCTGGGAGTCCCTGGTGACGACGTGCTGGAGGTGCCGGCTTGCCATCTCCTCGCACGTGCACCATGCTCTGCAGCCACGCAGTGCTGGGGTGGAACCGGAGCTGTGTACGGTCATAAATCAGCTTGTGGAGCTCGCCTCTGTCTGCAAGGATGCTTCTGCTGAGCAGGTTTGTAATGTGGACGGAGGAGGCAGAGACCAGGCAGCAGCTGGTATTACACACCGGTGCGTGGGCTGCTAAGGGCGACTCGCCTCGGCGTCCCTGCCCTTTCCAGGGGAGAGCGATGGGCGCAGCTCATCGGGATGCAAGGGCTGTGCCAAGTCCCAGTGCGATGCCCTGCGCCAGCCCTGCGCTCACTGTCACCTCCCTCCTGGGACTTCCCTTCCCTACCAAGAGCAGTTAAAAGTGCATGTCAGCACCCCGAGAGCTCGCCAGCCAGACCGCTGGCTGCCCGTCCGCTGGGGCCGCCGCTGCGGCAGCACTCGGTGTTTGCTGTCCCTCCAGCAGTAGGGGACAGGGAAGCACTTTGTTACTCCTGTGGGCACAAGCCTCTCAGTTCTTTCCTAAACCAGGACAAAAATACAGCACGCCCCAGCTTCTTTCCAACATCGTTAATATTTTTAGCCTTCCCAGCTGATACGAGGTGAGGAACTTTTGTACTGGCAGTAGTCAGAAAAAGCATTGCTTCCTTACCTTGGCAGCCACGGGCTTTGTCTTGGCATTTCCCTTCCCGTTCATCCTGGTGCTCCCTGACGACTCCTAACTTGGCATGGAGTGTGCAGGATGGAGGCACACTGAGCAAGCGAGCTCCCTGGGAGTGGTGCTTGCAGGGCTGTGAGGTGGTTGGATGCGGGTGCTCCCAGGGATGACGACCATGTTGGCAAGCAGCATCCCTGCCTGGTAGCTCCAGCCCATGCGCAGGGAGCCTGCAGCCATGAGGAAAGCCCGTGGGGAACCACTGATCCTGTGCTTGATGCTTGAAGAAACCAAGCCCCTGATGTCTCTGTCTGTGCGTGGCCAGGTTTGGTGCAGTCCCCCTGGGGCTGCCAGGGCAGCAGTGGCTATCACCCATCACGCTACCCAGCTGTTGGGGGTCCAAGGCGGACGCAGGCTGCACTCATGCACTGACCGGGAAGCTCAGCGCCAGGCACTGCCACCCCCGTGCTCCCTCTGACGTTTCCCCCTCCTCTCCCCTCCAACCCTCCGCAGCGCTCTGCCTGGTGCTGGGCTGCATGATCTTTCCTGATGGCTGGGATGCAGAGACCATACGGGACATGTGCGGGGAGAAGACAGGGAAATACTCCCTAGGCGACTGCTCTGTGCGCTGGGCTTACATCCTGGCCATCATCGGCATCCTCAACGCCCTCATCCTTTCCTTCCTGGCCTTTGTCCTCGGCAACCGGCAGAACGACCTGCTGCACGAGGAGCTCAAGACAGAGAGCAAAGGTGAGTGCTGCGCTCAGGGGGTCCTGGGGGCCTGTGCCACAGCCCTGGGGGGATCCCCGGGTGGGAATGGCCCTGGGGGGCTCGGCACCTCTGGGAGCCTGCAGCCGGGTGAGGCCTTAACTGCCACCTGCACAGCGAGGCAGGTCGGGCATGGGGGGAGTGGGCTGCTGAGCCCCTGCCCTGCCTGACCCCCTCTCTTCTGTTTCCACAGATTTTGTCGGTACTGCGGTAAGTCCTGAGTGTCACTGTCCTGTCCCACAGCCCTGACCGTGCTGCGTGTCTGGGTGTGACTGTGCTGGGTGGTCCCGCATGGGATGGGATGGGATGGGATGGGATGG